GTGAAGTCCCTATAACCTAATCTTCCTAAAACCAAAGGCTCTTTTCAGAGCCACCCACCAGATCAAGCAGAGGAGCTGTGATGCACAATTGTTCCAATAGTTGATAGCCTGCAGTAGTTTATGAAGAGTGTTTGGCGCTTACACGGTGTATGGGAATCCACGAATGCAAAGTTGCCGTATGCCCGCATACTACACGGCTGAACTCCCATCTGGGGCAAATTAAGGATCCTGTGATGAGCGTCCCTTTTATACTTGGGCACGTGTTAGTGTCCTGTAAACCCCCTTTGTGTAACTTTCTGGGCTATAAAGCTGGGCTGCTGTCTTGTTCCCGCAGTTTGGGGTGGGAGAGGCAGCTCGGCTGGTGGAAATAATAAGCTTGCTTTAATTTGGTTTTAATTGGAGTCAGTGGTCTTTGCATCCTGGTCTAACACCTCCAACCCATCAATCTCAGGTTTACATAAATGATACTGATGGTAATAAATACTAAGTAACTCATGGAGCAAGGAGGAAGTGCAAGTGCTTAGGGGGACCAGTGTTTTGGAGAGATACAAGGACTCCTGAAAAGGGCAGAGAACTACAGAGTATCAGAGCTCCTAATAATACATGCACATGCCTGAGCCTCCCTAACAATGCTTTTCTGACCCTTTTTCCCTTGAGGCTATTTTTGATGGCTCCAAAATTATAATTATCCGTTATTCCAGATTTTTATTGATTATGCTTAACATTTCAATTACTTACATGAAAGCAATAGCTTTACTGATATGATGGCAGTGTCTGAATGGGGTCTGTATAAAGAGGGACTGGCAGTGGGACATTGAAAGTGATCACCTTCCCTTTACAGTTTCAGCTGTTGTGACTGAAGAGGCTCAGAACATATCACCCCAAATAAGCAGTTTTAGTATTTTGATTATTTTAAGCTGAAGAGAACTGAGAAGCAGCCAACACAGAAAAATCTCCTTCACCCTCGACTGCATAAAATATATATTTCCCTTTTGTAAGGGAGACTCACACTTATAAAGGAAATTTTCACTAGCAAAGTCACTTGGACCAAAAAGCACACAGAGATGATTTTGTAACCTGAGAGACTCATCTGTATAACAAGGTGACTTTCATGCCCCATACTCTTCCCTTCAGCTTCCCTTTGTCCCCACTGTCCCCCAGGAACCCCAAAATCTTATTCCTTTTATTCTGGGGGCCTCCATTATCTGGTAAGTCAGTTAATAATACAGTTAGAGATTTTAAATTTGACATATTAAAAAAGAATAAAAATTGCAGTTATTGGTTCCAAGTGTAGGGAAGAGGTAAATATATGTTTAGTGTGGAAAATAATTATTTAAAAAAAAAAATGTGTCTGATTAGCGAATTGCTAGGGAATTGACCAGACACCTACACAGAGCAGACCTTGCTATAAGCATTTGCTGTGTCCAGCAGTTAGAACCAAGACAGCAGAAATGAGGAGACTGGGCTTTCCTCTCCAGCTGCACTGTGATACCCACGCCAAAAGGAACTATAGTCTTTTGTTACTCCACGGGGTTTGCTAGTGTTGCTGCCTGTTTAGTACTCTGCCCTGGCCCAGCATCTCATATTACTGACAGAGGTCTCAATGGGCATTAGGAAATTAGTTCAAACCTTCATTCAATAAGTTCCTTGAATAACTACTGTTTCAAACCCTTACTTGGCACAGTGATACAAGGAGAAAATAAAAAGAAAAGAAAAGAAAGAAATCCCTCTGCCCCCATGGTGCTACTTTTGCTAGAAGACAAACTAACTGGTTTTTAAGATCTTCACTTCGTTATATCTAGTGGCCAATTATCAGCATTCCGTCTTCATTTTACTTGGCTATTGAAAATACACACTGGACTGACAATGTCTCTCTTCTGTACTTCCTTCACTTGAACCCCAACTCATCCCCACCCCCCTAGCCCTACCCACCCAATGGTTCTGTATCTACTGCTAGGCCATATCTTTTCCCCAACCCCTCAACAGACAGCAGCACAGGGCTGATTTTAGGACTTTTCTGTCTGAACTCACTCCCTTGGAGATCTCATCTACCAGAACCTTAAACTCCATCTGTACATCAAAGATTTCCACTTCTACATCTCCAACCCAGGTTTCCCTCCTCCAGACATATATTCAACTCTGCTTTCTTTCCTCACATGCATACTTCATAAACTAAGGGTGATATATGTAAAATGGAACACCTCATATTCCCCTGCCAAGTCTTATATTTAGAAATCACCCAATTTGGTTGATAATAATTTCACGTGTGTCTGTTTTTACATTTTCATTCAATTTTTTCAAGAAGCTTCTTCTTTTCTCTTTCAAAAAATACCCAGAAATTACCATCTCTCAAGACCTCCATCTGTGAGGGACTATCTCCTCTGTGGCCTTAGTCTCCTTAATGTTTTCTTGCTTCCACTTTTATCCTGTGGGAGTGATCTTGAGGCCAGGGTAGTCTCCAAATACATTACCAGATGAACTCTCCCATGGTACAAAAAGACTACAGCCAAATTAAAAGGCTGGGGATAGATGGCATATGGAGTCATATGCCCTGCAGCTCAGGAAAGTCAACAACAAGACGAGAATGGAGCAGGTGGGCCACAGCAGCGGCACAGAGGGATGGAGAGTGCTCATGTGTTCCATCTCTCTCACAGATGCATCAGCCATTGTCAGTGATGGTGGAGCTATTAAGAACAGAGTCCAGGTTCAGGCAAGGTGGAAGGTACCTGCATTTCATGGAAGGTACCCTGGTCCACGACAGGGACCTACTGTATTGAAGAAGAGAGACAAAATATGCCTGGCCACAGCTGGTGCTCAACACAAGCTAGAGAACCATGCATTTTGCTTGCTACCTGGGCACAGGCCACATGGGCCAGACTGGGTATTGCCAGTGGGCAGCTGAATTGAGGCACTTGGAATCTCCAGCATGTTTAACATCCAGGTGTATCCTGTAGAAGTACTGCCTTCTGATCATTTACTCTCAGTTCTTTATCCCCCCTTCCTTTTTTAATTGCAATATATTCGAACATGTGCTGTACTTACTAATCTTCTACCCTTAACACATGCGGGGAATTTCATCATCACAACTAAATATTGTCAAGTAAAACTACAGTAGAGCCATATTTTCAAATGTCAGGAAACCAAGACCATGAATTCTAGCAATTATGATCCAACCCTTAAACAAGTATTTTCATAATATGGTATTTGAATCTAATCATTTGTCCTACTTGGTCTGTTTTCATGATAGAGTTGTGAAGAGATAAAAGACTGCTTGTTTTAAGAAAGAGTGAGTCCTCTGTCAGTAACTACATCCCTATGAGAAGTACTGGGGCATAGTAGAATTATTTTGTATAACATCCAATCTCTCCTCTGTTGTTTTCTAAACAAGGCCAGTCCATATGTGTCGTATATTTCCTACAAAGACATTCTTAAGTATTCCTAACAATATATCAGAAGATGTTCAATATTTTCCTGAAACTGGAAATTGAAAAAGATAGCAACTAAAAGTAAGTTAGGAAGAAATTAGTAAAGGAATTTTAGCCACAATAAAATCAGTAATTTCACTCCTAACTAAATAATTCTAGCCTTGTTGATCTTGGGTGAAGCATTCTGCTTCTATTGTGTCCTGAAAATCTTAAATCAGTCCTCAACTTTAGTCTGAACGGTATCTGTAGGCTTTTCTTTTGATACTTCTTCTTGAAAACTCAATCTCAGATCTGTAATTTGTAGTAGGAAGCTTTGGATAAGTGTATGTAGATGATGGAGATTATGTCTTGTTCAGTATATCACTCAACAACAGTAGGCAAAAGGATGAAATTATTTATTTAGGTATCATACTGTCAATAATGGGGACCCAGACTTCCAGGCCTTTTGATTTATCCCATAAAAATATTTCCTATTGTATAACAGCAAAAGTATGTATACCTAGGAGCAAAACCAATTGATGTAAGGCCAATGTATTACCACTTTTGTGCTAATCTTTTTTTAAAAAAGCATAATTGGTAAACAATATTAATAACATTTTATCTGGTTAAGACAAAATTTCCTTTCTTGACTTGCCCCTTTTCTTATATTATGCAGAATATGACTAACTATAAACTCTTGTAATATTAGGAAACAATACGTACGACTTATGGTCCCTTAGGCACCTCCTAAAATATTTCATATATAAATAATGCAATGGCTGCATGTCAAAAGCTGGCCCTTGATTTGGAAAAGGCTGTTGTTACATGATGCTTCACTACATCAGGCAATAAGCACAAGTCAGATTTCTAAGCCAGATTTTAAAATGTTAAATATAAAAAGAACACTTAAAGTATGTGCAATATAATATACTTAGTTTCTCTTTAGCACTGATCAAATCAAAATCATTCAACAAATCAATGGAAATTATCACAAGTAGGTTTAAAACAAAAAAAAAAAAAAAAAACTTACCATATGTAAGGAAAATACCATACAAACAAAACCACCAGTCCAGAAAAATCCAAATACAATAAAGTTTCATTAAATAAGCATTAATCCAGAATGTGAAGCTTATCACAGGCATCAGCTAAAGGGGTTACAAAATAACGTTTATAATGGTATAACTCAGAGCTGCCTCCTTTTGTCTTAAAGGTTGCCTTGGTGAGGCAAGGGCACCTTATATCTTAACACTTCTCAAATGTGACCTCGTGTTTGTGTTAACTTTGTTGAAACCCTTTGATGGCTTCCCATTCTTAACATTGGTCTCAGAACCACTTAGCTTTCAAGTCCCTTCAACCTACCGATGATCCTAGAGAAAAAGGCTGAGTGAGACCATTAATAGCATCCACCCCTCGTGTAGAAGAAGAAAATGCAAGGGGGTCTTGGAGTCTCCTAACAGGAACCCCGAAGCCCCAGTGCTTAGGGAGGATCCGCTTCATCTTAACCCGAGGTCGCGGGCACCAGGCCCAGTCGCGGGCCGGCGTGGGCTCGCGAGTTTAGGCGAACTTGTCCGTGCTGCGGCCCCTCCGCGGGAGTGGGCGGCCCTGAAAAGGGCCTTTAGTTGGGGAAAGCAGGTGATGGCGGCACCAGGACACTCAACCGCCGAAGCCGTAGAGGGTGCGGCCCTGGCGCTTGAGCGCGTAGACCACGTCCATGGCTGTGACCGTCTTGCGCTTGGCGTGCTCCGTGTAGGTGACGGCGTCGCGGATCACGTTCTCCAGGAACACCTTGAGCACGCCGCGGGTCTCCTCGTAGATGAGCCCGGAGATGCGCTTGACGCCGCCACGGCGGGCCAGGCGGCGGATGGCGGGCTTGGTGATGCCCTGGATGTTGTCGCGCAGCACCTTGCGGTGGCGCTTGGCGCCGCCTTTGCCCAGGCCCTTTCCGCCCTTGCCGCGACCAGACATGGCAACTGCTAAGCGAAGACCAAAAGCCACGAGCACAACGCTAGCCCTGGAGGCTGGCCTTTATACGTCTCCGGCGGACCAAGCTGAGAACCACGGGAAGGAGGCGGCAAGACGGGAGGGGGAGGGGAGAAAACGCGAGTTCGTACTTCCTGGTCCGATGTTTGCCGCGGAACTTTTTCGCCCCGCCTTCAAGCTTTATAAAGCTGCTTTTGGACGCAAAACCACACCCTGTGGAAAACAGGCGTGCAGTTGGGTACCCTGCGGGGTCCCGCCGCACAGAACCCACCCTGCGGCTCACAGATCCAAGACGCCGCCTGCAGACAGCGCCAGACCGGGCGCTTGCAACTTCCATAGGCTGATTGCATTTTAATCAGTCTCCGTTGAGAGAATCCAAAAGTGATTTTCGAGTCAGACCTTTTCGTGATTTCAAAAGACAGTCTCACCAATTCACTAGCAATCTGATTTTTTTAAAATAATTCATCTTTTACCCACTTATGACCTACCACTTTTACCACGTGCAGTTACTATTGAAATTCTAATCTATTACATAATTTAGCCAGTCTTCCTTGCCAAAGAGATTGTTTACAATTTGATTTTTGACAATCAGCCTCAGGAAAAATGTTAAAAGTCACTAAGTCTCCTTAATAGTCCATCATAAAAAATTTCTGATTCATTTTAACAAATGTCTAGTATTTAACAATAATATGCTTTCTCAATTTTCTCCTATAAAGGAAATTTTGATATTTTCTGGGGATGGCTTCTGTTGAAATGTTTTGTCACAGAGGGTGCAGCTTTAAAAGTATTTGATTAATATTACTACCTTACCCTCAGAAAGCTTTTTAATCCTCACTGAAAATAGCAGTAACTTTATAAGTGTACCCTCACTGGCTGTTGTGACTTTTGTAGGTGAAGTGTTGACCATGTGCATGAGGGGTCTATCACTGGGCTACACCTCCATATCTAGTATGATTTTTTTCAATCTATTATACTCAGAATTTATTTTTGATGTAGATGATTGAGTCAGGTTAATCAGTTGGCCACTTAGCCCTTAGCCTGATTTATTGTTTTCAAGTGATAAAATATTCTTTAATATATTAACTTCTTGGGCTGGGGATGTGGCTCAAGAGGTAACGGCGCTCGCCTGGCATGCACGGGGCGCTGGGTTCCATCCTCAACACCCCATTAAAAAAAATAAAGATGTTGTGTCCACCGAAAACTAAAATAAATAAATAAGTATTAAAAAATTCTCAAAATATATATATATATATTAACTTCTTTACTAGGAAAAATTGATGTACTTTCTATTTCATTTCCACTGAAAAGTGTTTGAAACATTGTAACTAAATGCAAGTTTAAGTAAAAATAAATGAAATCTTTTTAGCATTTGGATCATAATTTATTAATAATTTGATCAGCGTTTATTAATAAATTGAAGCAGAAAGAGTGGCTGCAGGGATAGAAAGCTGTGATCCCTTTCCTCAGACTCCTATAACAAAAGACAGGCTAACAAGAGAAAATCATAAATTATTTATTTAATCGAAATTTTACATGACACAGTAGCCTTCAGAAACAAAGATCAAGAGAAAACTGTCTCCTTTTAGGCTTGGATTTGATGAACACTAGTTGTATTGAAGTGAAAACGTGTAAAAGGTTCTGATTTAATGGCAACAGGCTGAGAGGAACCCAGCAACTCCTGTCCAGATGTCTTGGCCTCTCCTGGCATTCCTCCTCCCAGGTGTAGGGCAGGACTGCTCCAGAAAGGTGGTTTTGTCTACCACCAGGCAAGGAAGGTCAGAGACTTTCTTCATGGCTAGCACTTACATAGAAGGGCATGAGGAGGTTAAGTCATATCTCTGTGTTTTATCTGTGTCGTTTGGAAACTCTTTGGATTTGTATAAAGAAGTGAGATGACCCAGGGTGGGGCCTGGTCACCCAGCAGCAAGACCAGCCATAGGAGGATGAAAGTCAGCCCCACCGTTCAGGGGGTCTAGGAATTAAGTTCAATCACAGAATGTTTCAGTCATGTCCATGTAATTCAGCCCATAAATCCCTGGACATCAAGGCAGTGAGCTTACAGCTTGGTGCATACATAGATGTGCTGGGAAGGTGACTTCCTGAACCTACAGGAGATGATTTCCAGAATCTGCATGGGAAGGGCACAGAAGTGCTGCTTTCAGGGAATTTCCAGGCTTTGCCCTGTGTGTTTCATTTTACTGACCTCAATTGGAATCATTTTATGATAGAGTGTAATCAGAAGGGCAGACTTTTACTGTATTCTATGTCATTTTTCCAAATTATAGAGCCTGAAGGGGTTGTGGGAGACCCTGAATTTGATGACAAGTACTTGGAAGGACAAGGGGCCTAGTAGCCATACTTGCAGCTAGTGTCTGAAAGTAAAGACAGCCAGTCTTATTGGAAACATGCTCTTCAACCTGCGCCCCTCAATTGGTCGTCTCCAGCCTCTTAGTGCCACAAATGAATTGCAGTACAGCAGTTGGTAGGACTAACTACCAAGCAATTCATGTACATGGTTAAAAATTCAGAAGATACAGATTAGACACACTGGGAAAAAAAAAAAAAAAAACTAAACTAAAAATCACAGTTTAAAGGTAACCCTAGCACTGATATATATATCTATGAAAATATTCATCTCTTCACATATTTGTTATTTTTCAACATCTATTGGGATGCAGGTGTTTGCTGAGTGCCAACCCAAAATATGTTCATTTACACATCAAATTGAAGGCATGTGAGGAACAGCAAATACAGCAAGGGGCTTTCTCTGAATTCCCCTTATCTAAAAATAGAGAAAGAAATTGTGAGGAATTCTCTTCCAGGAATCTCATCAAGTAGTGATGAGCTGTATCCTAGAAGAGACTGAACGTCACCAGCATGCAGACAGACCTTGCCACAGGACCTCACCTGTTCTCCTGAGGGCCCTTCATCTTCCCCCAAAACAATTTGCTTTTCCCTCCCCATTATGAGGAGGGCATAAACTTCTAGACTAACAGGGCCTCAGATGTTCATCTTTCCTTCACGTGGTGCCCCGTGCATGTAGTAAATGTATAGGCCTCTCCTTATAGTTCATCCACACTTGGAGGGTGGAAAGTGCTCCTTCCCTCACAGATCTATTGTGCAGTTCTTCTAACTCTAAAAGAAATCTTCACAAATCTTGACACAATGTAAAAATGTTAACTACTTCTTTTTCAGGTTTTTGGTGTAGTTATGACCAGGGAATAGTAAATAGTTCATTCTACCATCAGACAAGCCTAGACTTGAACCCTGGCTTTGGTGCAGTTACTTCTTATTTTGCCTTAATTCCCTCATCTTTGTGAGTGTGAAGACAATAGCATTTGCTCCAGAGGACACTAAAAATTAATGGCGATAATCGAGTGAAATGATTAGACTAGCTCATAAGATCTTACTAGTCACATAATAGCTAAAAAAATCTATTGTTAGCATCTGCTCTTTTGATATTCAGTTACCTGTTGACTTTTTATGTGTATACTTTAATTAACATTTATTTGTATTTATTAGCCTATATAAAGTGTTTATTACAATAATTTATTTTCTTTAAGTTCCTACTATATTTGGATACATCTTTACCTAGAATTTTGTTTTGAAACAATTTCTAAATAGTATCTTACAGCTAAAATAGGAAAAAGTCACATTAAGATCCTCCTTGAAGCTTACTCTCCTGTTTTCTACCTTCAAACATCACCACCACCTCAAACAGAAGATACACACGTACATGTGGTTAAAGTCAAGTCTCAGTAAGCAGACGAAAGATATGAGAGAGGAGTTATGAAACCAAGAAGCCACCTAAGAAGGAGATTGCTTTCCCAAATCTGTCATTACCTTTGTTAGAAACACCTGGTTTGTCTGTATGCCTCACGGAGGAGAAGAAAAATTATTTTCTCTCTGCTCTTTTGAGTTCTTAGTTGGAGCTGAAAAGAGAAGAGCAATGCAGAGAAGAAAGGGAAGGAGAGAGTAACAAAAGCCAAACAAGTCCATTGACCTGCTAATGGTGTATAGCATACGTCTCCCAGAAATCCTTAGTTCAGAAAGGTGAACTAGAGCTCTAGTTTACATAGCATGTTAAACAGAGAACAACATGTTTTTAGAAAAGTGGCAAACCAAGGAAAAGGATCATGCTTCAGAAAAAATCAGCTGTGACATTTGAGTTCAATGCAAGGCTAATGAACATAGAACATGACCTGGTCCAGTTGGTCTGGCCGATGGCACCAGTGGCTTTGAAAAGCTTCCACATGTCCTGCAAGCTACTTCAGTCCATCCAACTCAAGCTGCTTTTTCCACTTTCATCTTACACCACCGTCTTACATTTTCATCATAATAAAATTCAACCATTACAGCTGAATAATAGCTACATGTTAAAATTGATCCATTGTGCAAATTTTCTAAATTGTTACATTGGGCCCGGTTCCCAAGGTGAATTCTCTCCTATCTCTCCTCCATTGAAAAAAAAAGTAAAAAGAAAAAAGAAAAAAATCAAGAGCACTTTGACCATGAGTGATAAACAGCAGGTATGGTGTCTTCATTGAGGCATAGGAACAATGCAATTAATGCAAGGAATTGGTATAAATACCTCTAGTAGCAATGCAAACACTACTACTCTGGTTTATTAGAACACAGATTTCTCAGAAGTTGACTCATTATTTCTAACCATAAAGATCCAAAGGACATTTAAAGAGGGAACAATGGAATAAACTAGTTTAGCACTGCGGTTTGATTTGAATATAATGTTATTTGGATCAGAGTTCTGTGACTGTCCTGCTCGGTCAAGCCCAACTCTGCCAGAGACTTAGCATCACAGCTTCGCCCAAGCGTGCTCAAGTCTTCCTGAGCCCTGTCCTTGCTCTACTCAGGGCTCACCTGAGAGCCCCGTGTTAAAGACCGAGGGACGATGCACGTCTTGATTTCCCACCGTGTGCAATATTCTCTTCCTCGTAGGTTTGTTCTTGGCCTTGGCATTTTGCATGCTGTCGTTGCTTTACAGGGCTAGCCGCCCGCATCCCCGCGGAGCCGAAGCAGCTGGGGAGGTCCTCGCTCACCTCGCCAAGTGCGCGGAGTCCCCGAGCGGCGGGAGCTGCCCAAGCCTGGCAGAAAGCGTTTGCGGGGGACTGACCGGGAAGACAAGACGGGCGCAGGGTCCTAAAGACCGCCTGTTCTTTGCAATCTAGCAAGAAAGAATCGCGAGTGGGACGCACATAGTAGTAGGCGGAATTTATTTGGGAAAACGAAAATAAGAAAAATACGTGTACTGGATCTCCTCCTCCGAAGAAGGCGTACGTTCCACAGAACCGGGAATTTTTAAGGAGTTTGAAACAGGCTGAATTTGGAAAGCCTTCCAGCTCTTAAATCCGGAAACACAGATGTCAGACCCCGGAAGCCTCGGTCCCTTTAAAGGTAATAAGGAAGGTTCCCGGGACTGAGAAGAGGCCAAGCCAGTGAGATCCTGCATCTTTGAGCCCCGGAATCTTTGGTCGACGTAAAACTCATGAATTTCTTCTGCAGATAACAGATTTTTGCTGAGAATGTAGCATAGCCTATTTACTTAAGCCAGGACAAGGCCGCAGGTAAACTGCCCTTTAAAAGAAAGCATGTGGGGGATCAGCACAGTAATTTAGAATTATGTCAACATCCGGCTCCCATTGCTCACTTCTATTATCTATCACTTCTACTCAAGAAGCTTGTGAGTTTAGGATTTCATGTATGAGAAGCTTCTAAATGTGAGGCTCCAGAAATGTGGCCCATTCCCATTTTCCTTCCTCATTGTCCCCTGTCTGAGCTGCCTCAGTGTTCCAGAACAACTCAGTCCTTGTGCCTGAGATCAACCCCCGGTGCCATGAGATTAAAGAGTTAGAAGAGTAAGAACAGGAGAGTTAGACAGATCCAGGATTGCATAGAGTGCAACTTTTTGAGGAATTATTGACAGAAGCATGGTTCTGGACAGCAGCAAGGATCCCTGCAGTTTAGGTCAGAAGGAGAGTACTTAGGTGAATTAAGACAAAAGCAACTTCATTCTGGCTGGACTGCAACTGGCAAGTCTCGAGTTAATATGGAAGAGTTGTGTACATTCCTTGGGCAGGGTCACGTTGTAAAGTTCCACACACCACTGCAAAGCTTTGGTTTACTTATAGTTTGCTGGAAAACTATGCAGGAAAAACTGACTGGCGTTCCTCTGGGGCAGTCGACTCAAGGCGGCTGCAGGATGGTGAGCTGAATTCACAAACTCAAGCTTCCCCTTAGTCTCACTTCAAGCTTCATTAAGTTTATTCCTCAGATAACTTGCTGACCCTCTACCTTTTCAGCTATAAAGTGGGATTAATAGCAGAGCCTATTTAAGACTGTTGAGACAATGAAGTGAGTTAAAACAAAATCATTTGAGTATAACTTACAGTTAACAAGCCATCAATAAATGTTAAATAGGTCAAAAGGTTCATTATTATCCCTAGAAAATACTAGTTGGCTACACAAATTGCTCTATCAACCAAGGGATGTACATCAGCCAGAAGATGCATACTCTAGAAGCCTGAGATCTGAGGAGCCTAACTTGTAGTACTCACTGCATTCAGGCACTTTGTTGATAGGCTGAAACATGAGACTGTCTTCTCTGAGGGTCAAAAGCAGTCAAATGTTGTGTGTGGCTCAATTTAATATTCTACTCACTGCCATATTGATAGGATTTCTAATAATGCCTGGCTCATAGTGGATGAGTAATAAATAGTTCCAGTAGGAATGAACAGAGTAAATTGTCTTTTCCCCCAATCCTCCTTCTGCAAGCTTTTTCTTGACTGTGTTTTGTGATAAGGAAGGTTCCAGCGACTGAGAAGAGGCCAAACTGGTGAAATTCTGCATTTCAACAAAGATGAAATCTACATGTCATTCAGGTTTGTCCTTCATTTTCCCCTCAGTCAGCTAGCTGACTCTTGTCCCTTCCATCCTCCTTTTTCTCCTCCTCTTTCCGACTGCCTTATTTCTAATCTTGCTGCTGAACAGAACCCCTCAGGATCTTAAGGGCCTCTCTGGCAGATCCTGCCACATTTATCCCCAACCACTCCTGACACCAGCAACTAACTCTAAAGGACTCCTCCATTCTACTCTGCTCAGATCCCTGCCTGACTGCACGGGTTCTTATCACTTGAAGCAGGGTCTACTTTGCTTCTTGCCCAGTTTAGAGCCAACATTCCCATTTTTTCCAAGATTCCATTTGGACTTCCCCATTGCAGGAACTTTGCTTGGTACAAATTAGGCACTTAAAACCAGTTTGCATAGCAAATACATACGAGTAAAGGATGGTTAGATGGTCTCTTTATAGAGAAGTGCGTGATAAGAACAAATGGATATGCTGGCTCCAGATTAAAACAAGTCTTGGGCAAGCATGGTGGTCTACACCCATAATCTAGAGAATAGCAATGTAAGGAAAAAGATGAAGAGTCTCGCCAATGCATCAAGGTTTTCTTGAAGTAAGAACCAGTGGCAGATACAAAGAGACAATTCCAACAGGATTAGAAAACATTTCTACCTCAAAAAAACAAAACAAACAAACAAAAAAAAAACAGCGAATTGGCTCTTTTTGAGAAAACGTGGGTGGCTCTGAAAAGAGCCTTTGGGTTTAGTGAACGCGGCCTCAGGACCATTTACTTGGAGCTGGTGTACTTGGTGACCGCCTTGGTGCCCTCCGACACGGCGTGCTTGGCCAGCTCCCCGGGCAGCAGCAGGCGCACGGCCGTCTGGATCTCCCGGGACGTGATGGTCGAGCGCTTGTTGTAGTGCGCCAGGCGCGAGGCCTCGCCCGCGATGCGCTCGAAGATGTCGTTCACGAACGAGTTCATGATGCCCATGGCCTTGGACGAGATGCCGGTGTCGGGGTGCACCTGCTTGAGCACCTTGTACACGTAGACCGAGTAGCTCTCCTTGCGGCTGCGCTTGCGCTTCTTGCCGTCCTTCTTCTGCGCCTTGGTCACCGCCTTCTTGGAGCCCTTCTTCGGGGCAGGAGCGGACTTGGCTGGCTCAGGCATGGCGAGAACCAACTGGCGAAAGTGAGGAGTTCACAACAGGCGCCTCTTTAAGTATAGAACGTTATGTAAATGAGGAGTAGTAGAGGTCTGTGGTGATTGGTGGTTAACTTGGCCTGACGTCAGGTGCCAGTTTTGTCCAATCAAAGTCCGCGTCTTGCAAAAGTGCGTTCCATTGGTCAGAATGAAAATGAAACCCAACCAATCGTACAGCTTCGTTTTCGCGCCCAGAGGAGACTATAAACACTGCGTCCTTCCACTTGCCTTTCAGCTTTAGAGGCTCCCGGCGGTTCATCTGTGAGTATGTCTGGACGCGGCAAGCAGGGTGGCAAGGCTCGCGCCAAGGCCAAGACGCGCTCCTCCCGCGCCGGCCTGCAGTTCCCGGTAGGGCGAGTCCACCGCCTTCTGCGCAAGGGCAACTATGCCGAGCGGGTCGGGGCCGGCGCGCCCGTCTACCTGGCAGCGGTGCTCGAGTACCTGACAGCCGAGATCCTGGAGCTGGCTGGCAACGCTGCCCGTGACAACAAGAAGACGCGCATCATCCCTCGCCACCTGCAGCTGGCCATCCGCAACGACGAGGAGCTCAACAAGCTGCTGGGCAAAGTCACCATCGCGCAGGGCGGTGTCCTGCCCAACATCCAGGCGGTGCTG